CTTACATTTGATAAATTTTTGTTTAATGATCGTTCTAGATTTTTAATTGTCTTGGCTTATATTTCTATAGACAAACATCAATCATTGATTATCTTGATAGATTAATTCTTGATCTTAAGGAAGACGATGATATTTTGATTCTTGGTGACGCTAATGCCAGAATTGCTTCTGAAATAGATACATTATATACAGGCTTTAATTTAATTCAAATTTCTATAATATTAGGTTTTTGATATTAGGTAATATTGATTATTTTAAATGGTCGTTTCGTTACCGATTTTCCTGCCAATTTTACGTTTATTTCCTCTCTGGGTACATCAGTTATTGATTTAATTGCTACAAACTTGGAATTGGTCGATAATATAATAGATTTTAAGGTTTTGAATAAATTTAATTCCGATCATCTCCCAGTTTCTATTGCTTTCCGGATTGATTGTCTTCTTCACGCAAAATGATCGCCTACTGAAATTTTCCGTTGTGTGTGGAGACCTTCATGCTCGGATAAATATTTAATGTTTTAAGAGATACGAAGATTTTAAATGTGGATTCTTTATCTTTTTATTTATCTTTTGTTGATGTGATTTTTGAATCCGCGGTTCAAAGTAGTATGTTTGTCAAATGATTGTTGAAAAAAAAAATTGAAGTTTTGGTTTGATGATGATTGTTTACGATTGAAGACATAAAAATCGAGCTCTACGTTCTTTTAGGCGATTAAGATCTAAGCAACAATTTATTACCTATTCTAACTTAAATTAAAATTTCAAATACTTCTGTAAGGCCAAAAAGAAATTATTTTAGACTAAGATTAACTTTCAGATGTCGCAAATTAAAAAAGTCTACTGAATTTTAGAAGATTGTAAATAAATTTAGAATAAACAAACCTGTGTATAATAATAGATAATAATTCTATTTGTGAATGTTCGGATTATTTGAAAGTTTTTTTCTCCTGCTGTACTGTCCATTTGCACTGATGACAATATGAATCTACTACTAGACGAACTTTTTTCTTTTGATGAATTACAATCTGTAGTTCGTTCTTTAAAAAATAAAAAAGTCCCTGGCTTGGATAATATTTAGGCTGAGATGATTAAATCTCTCCTGATTAATGCTATAAATGATTTGTTATTTTTATTTAATAATTTTAATTACTTTTTCCCTACAATTTGGAAGGATATTTGTCTAAAAAATGATATACAAGAAGGGTAGCCGTTCCCATCCATTGAACTATCGTTCATAATATCGTTCATATATAATCAGTGTAATTAGGAAAACTTTTCCATGTTATTGGTTAACAGTTTGAGACTTTGGCTTCAGTGGTTTCGTGTTTCCTTTAGCCAGGATGCTTTTGTACCGAGTAGAGATGTCTGTTACAATCTATTTCTTTTTCTCGGAATTTTGCAACTATTTTGGCTAAGAAACGTAATAATTTAGCCTATACACATTGGATTCATTGATCTGTCAAGGGCGTTTTATTTTGATACAATTGATCACGATATTTTATGGTCGAAGCTTTCTCAGCTAGGTATTTTTTTTATTAATCCTATAAGACAATTGTTTTCTGGTACCGCCTTTCAAATTGATCGTTGTATCTCAGAATCGGTAATTGCTAATAAACGTCTTCCACAGGGCGAATCACTTAACCGTATTTTGTTTAATTTATTTGTCAACGATCTCCCAGATTTTTTCACAATCATAATGCTATGGGTACATCTATATCATCGGAAGTAGAATTGAACTGTCTTTTGTTTGCCGATGGTATTGCAATATTTTCGTATTCTCCTATTGGCCTTCAGAGGAAACTTAACCTTTTACAGGATGATTGTAGGATTAATAAGCTACATATTAATGAGGCTAAATCTAAAGTAATGGTTTTTCGGAGAAGGGATAGGTTGGGAAAAGCTGATAAATTTTATTTATCTAATTCTGAGTTGAAGGTCATGTCGTCTTACAAATATTTGGGCATCTATTTTACTCCACAGGAGTCGTTTTCTTTTCACTTAAATTGTTTTTGAAATATAAACTTAATCTAACTTACTAATTTAATAAAGCTTATGGTTAGAATGAAGCAGTCTTCTATCAAGTCGTATTTTCGATTATTTGATTCTTTCATACGTTCAAGTCTATGTTTGTTTCCCATTTGGGGTTCATCTTTTGTTGATGAATTAGAGAAGACTCAATTGAGATTTATCAGATTGATATTTCATATTAACGATTTAATCTTATAGTTTAAATTCGATAACAGATAGTGTCGAGCAGGGCCGGATTAACCCGCTTTCGGGCCCTAGACATTTTTTTCTTACCGGGCCCCTTCCTTCTCACACAAGAAATAGAGCACACAAAAAATATAAAACAATAAATAAAACAAAACTAAATAATGTGAAAAATTAAAACAAATCTTAAATTTCTATTAATAAAAAATATTTAATATACAACAATAAATTTTAGTTTTTCTAGAAAAGTTTGAACAGTTTGTTTATAACTTTTAAAACATTGAAATTTATTTTATTAAATGTTCAACAGAAGTTGTTATACAATAACAATATTACCTTAAAATATTAATTGTTTAATTTAATCTTTTTTATTATTACTATTTAAATAATATAATATTTTACCCGTGAAAGATAAATTGAATAATGAAAAAGATAATTTAAATAAAAGCCAAGATAGTTTTAAAAAAGTAAGTATATAAATATGAATAAACTTTATTTAAAAATTCTGTTTTCTAGTCTTTAATTCAGCAAAATTACCAATTATTTCATCATAATTAATATTATCCAAAACATTTTGTTCGATGTATAAAAAGCTAAAGAATTTAATTTTGATTCACTCAGTGAGTTTCGTAAATAATTTTTTACACGTTTTAATACTGAGAATGAATGACCTTTCACCAGATGCATTTGATATAGGCAGAGTTAAATATATTCGCAATATTATTTCTATATTTGGAAATGTTGATACTAGTTTTGTGCTCTTTATAAATTGCAGCATATCAGATGGCAACGTTAATTTTTGGCTTTTGTAAATTAATTTAAATTGCAACAATTCCTCGTCCAATTCTTCTGTGTCAATATCGCCACTGTACCACTTTTTTAGCAATGCAGTGTTAATTGATACGTCCTCGTCGTCGCCGTCCGTTATGTTTGAATGAAGAATTTTAAAAATTTCATCAATATCTTTCAAAATAAACAATTTAACCAGGTCCTTCTAAAAACCGGGCCCTAGACATTTGTCTCATTTGTCTATGCGATGATCCGGCCCTGGTGTCGAGGTGTCTATGGGGAAGAGAGAAAAGTTTCGAAAAACTATACTTTATATAAAGAATATCTTGAACCCAATATTTATCTTTCAGTGACATAGAATTACTAACTATTAATGTTAATTTGTTATAAACTAACTTTCTGAAGTCAGATTCTGGTAACTTTAGAATTTTATACCAATATCGAAAAATAGTCATTGCTAAACAAATAGCCAATGGCAGTCTATACAATTCAAATCTCAAAACAGCTCAGGGCACCAAACGATTAACCCCTTAATTTTCTTTTATTAATGTGTGGGTATCATTCATCCAGATGATTAGTATGTTATAGATGTACCTTTCATACACTCCTCAAAAATGAAATTGCAACACCACAAAAGAATGCATGTAGCCACATGCATATCACAGTACTAGTACAGGTGACAGAGATATGCAAATGATTAAGTTTGTGTACGCATTGGGTCATGTGGTACCAGTTTCAGGTTATAAAGAAAGACCAGCAGCCGGCTCAGCTTGTAAATCCTATCAGTGACAATTTGTAGCAATGAACTTTTGAAGAGTCTGAAATGCCTGAATGGTAGCCAGTTACACTTAAAAAGACCTATTGAAAGGCATTCCCCCTAGGCAGATCGCCCAAGTGTTGCATTAACTTAACTAAGCGAACTAAACAAACAAACTTTTGAAGAAGCGTAGAAAATGTCTAAGAGATGACAGTGAGCTGAATACCACCAGTTAATTCGGTCTTGTTCTCCAATGGCTGGAGAACAAGACCGAATCCTGGAACTGCATGATCTCAGTTTGTCCATGCATACAGTTCCATGCATGTTGGACATGACGTGAGAACATCCAGCAATGTGTGACATGATGGACTCAGGAACATTTGTGAACATGCCAAAGAGGGGAGTGGATTGCATCAGTGCACGAGAGTGCCCAAACTGGCAGATTTGCCAAATGGCCATTCCAGACCCATTTGCCACAGCATGAAACATCCAAAGTCACCTGTTACCGTCAATAGTCAATCAAACCATTGCAACAGGTTGCATAAAGTTGGACTGCATGCATGGCATTCAGCAACTGGAGTGCCATTAACTATTTCACACAGAGCTGCAAGCTTGGCATGGTGTCATTATCATTGCAACTGGACCACTGAATGGCATTGGGTATTGTTTATGGATGAATCCCGTTTCTGTCTGTGGAGGAATGATGGGTCCACCCACCAGCTCTTTTTGCTGAGTGTTGCATCAGCAAAAAAAAAAAAAAACCTGACACCAGACCTCACCAGGCCTCATGTTCAATCAGCAGACAGCCCTGGTGCACATTTCCAGTACTCTTGACAGCAAACCAGTACGTTACACGAATTGTAGGCCTGTAGTTTGGGCACTGCTGTAGGCTGCACTTGACATGGTATTGCAGCAAGATAATGTCCAACTGCACATTGCATGAATTCTCACCAACCTAAACGAATTCACATTCTTTCTGGCTAGCAGCCTTGCCAAATCTTTTTCCCATCGAACACCTGTGGGACCTTGTCTGACGTGAAGTGCTCTGGGGACCACGCTACATATTGTAGATGACATGCACAGTATAGTGGATGCAGCTTGGCAAGGATACCTTAAGCAACCTTTAATTGCTTCATTGATAGTATGCCTCAATGTATATGGCCTGTATAGCTAGCCATAGGACCTGTATAGCTAGCTAACAGAATTCGGTGGAGGTACTAAGAAGGTTGGAGAATGTTATGCTTATGGATAATGAATGGATGACAGTATTGGATTACAAAGCTCTGTACCCGTCAATTAAATTACCTCCCTGCTTTTGCGCTCTCAGAGACTTTTTGTTAGCAAAAATTAGCAATTCGATGAAATACCACATGCAGATCTTGGAGTTGGCAGATTTAATTTGCCACACATCTTTCTTCCAATTTGAAGATAAAACTTACTTGCAGGCACGGGGCGTACCGATGGGTAGCCCCATGTCAGCTATACTCTGCGAATTAGTGTTGCGTAAACTCGAAAACGATATACTCCCCTCATTCCAGGAAGACATATTGGCTTACGCAAGATATGTGGATGATATCTTTATTTTATGGAAGGATAATCGCATGGTTAACCAATTTATAGATCTGATCAACGACAACCCATATGGATTAACCCTGGAACTAGAGCAGGAAAGTGGAAACAATGTTAATTTTTTGGATTTATCTATAACTTGCAAAGACGGGGAAATCAGAACAGACATATACTGGAAACCCACTTATCTTCCTATCGTCATTCCTTCGCAGACCCTGAGTATATAAAAATCGCCGTTTTTCGTTCATGGATAATGAGGGCACACACGCATTGCACCAGCATCTGCGACACGTACAAAGAATTGGATTATATACGAAACGTAGCGATACAGCAGGGATACCGTAGAGAAAGAATAGATGCTCTCATTGCGAATTGTCGGAAGCGCCACCCCTCTCAGGGAGGGAATCAGCGTAAAGAAAGAGTCGTGCTTAATTACATACCGTTCCTCAAAGGAATGGTTAAAAAAATTACCAGAGATAAGAACATACAGATAGTTTACAAGCGTAATCCCACCGTATACAGGCTCTTAAGGAACGATAAAGGCAGTTACGAACGCAACACGATGGCAGGGGTATACTCAATACCGTTAAAAGACCGTAGATTTAATTCTAATTTGGTATACATAGGAGCAACCATGAGAAACTTAAAGAAAAGAATTGCTGAACATAAGCACTCGGTAAATAAAAACGTAGACTCTACGGTGCTTGCTGCCTTTGCCAAGTAACAGAATATCGAGGTCTTTTGGGACCGGGCGTCGATCATTAAAGCTACAAGATCCAGGCAAGCCATAAAACATCTGGAAAAACTAGAAATTCACAAGGCGCAGTTGCACACAAACTGTATTAATCATAGGGATGCTGACGGATTGTCATCGGCATGGAAATCCTTCTACGATGAATTGACGTTTATGTAAGCGGGAAGAATAATTAATATAATTTTTACTGAATGTATATATTTTATTTTATTTCTTTGTTTCGATTTAATTAACTTGTATAATTTTTGCAATTATTTAAACTTGGTAAATGTTAACGTACATTTATGTAACCGCGTTTTGAATTTTGTTTTACGTAATTTCGAATTCTTCGTTCGAATCAAAATGATAACTGAGGATGATCGCTTAAAGCGTTCGAAAGCGTTTTTAAGATATTAAAAAACGATTTGATGGATTATTTAAAGGTTTTGATTTTATTTATAGTGTAGTTCCAGTAAGAAAGTATTTTATTTATTTAAAACTAAATTACGGTTAGCATGTAATGAGTGTAATTATCATAAAGTTATAAGAGCTATCTGTGCTTAGGAAAACTAAATACTGGTATATTTTGATATATTTGACATTCAATATTATAAAAAAAATAATAATTGTAATTTGACCTTAAAAATGTTATAAAAACTTTACTTATACCTTTACATCTTCTCCAGAAATTAAATCATCCAATTTTATAAATCATAAATTAAGAAATTTTTATGTTTTTTTTAAAAATCACTTTAATGTTCTTATATCTTTTTTAATGATTTTATCTATTTTGAATTAACAATGCGATCTACTTAGTTTATTAAATTATTAGAATCGTAATATACATTAATGATCAAACTAGTTACAACATTTACAAGAGGTTCAAATAATAAATTTACAATATATAAATAAATGTACAGAATATATGAATCGTGAATAAATAACTAATAATTATAATGAAATAACAAACTTTTTTAAAATTCCTTATTAAGCTTTATTGTTTGCTTTATATCAGCCACTTTTCTCTTTCTTTTTTCTCTTTCTCAGTTTTTACATAAATTTTACTGAATATTGGTAACAAAGAAAACTATTATATACAACATTATAACAATGATGGCACATACATGTGCTGTAGATTACTCTACAGCACAACATATTGCTTGCTATTCAGCAAAATATATGTATGTATATATATATATGTTATATATATATCTTTTTTTAATAATTTTTTTATTGATATATATTTTAGCTGCCATTTTAAAACAAAATGAATTATTTATATTTTTAATGACTTAACATTAAAATTAACTCTTCTTAACTATGATATAAATCCATTTATCCAATAATGAAGTATATTATTCCAATGCTTTGTACTTAATTCTATATTATAGAAATTCATAGTTTTATTCCCATTTTTTTTTTAATTTAAATTCAAAAACGTGAATTTCTTTTTCCTTCTGTAAATAATAACTTCAATTTCATATTATTCAACCTTATGAATAATCACATAAGGTTGGCTATAAATTTTGTTGGATAAATGGAATTTAATTATTTAATGGAGCAACTTATAAAATATTTCTGATACAATAACAACAAATAATAATCCCGATGAGAAGTTGTAGAACATTTTGATAAAGAGAATTGATTTACACTATATATAGATAGATAGGTTAAAACAACTTGATTACATATAATTATTTTTAAGCTGTTTGATTTCATTTTTAATTATTCAAAAATTTAAAAAAACAACAAGAAATTAAACTTTTATTGTCCTTTGATATAAAATTTATTTTAAAATGGACTATTATTGTATAAAATAATCAGATAAAATTGTTTTTTTAAATTAGAACTGACATTACTAAGCACTTATCATTTTTCAATAGAGTAGAATTTTTTAACTATTTTCTTTCTTTAAATAGATAAAAATTTGTATAAAATTAAAAGTAGAATAATCCAGAAACCTACTATAAATTACTTTTATACAGAATCAAAGGCACTCAAATAACATGAGCATTTGGGATATATTGCAAGTAAATCTCTAAATTCTATAAATAATTATTCTTTTCTTTTTTTTACACTTTAAAGAGAAATAACAATAAAACAACATTTTTCAGTAAAAATATTACAATAATTCTTTCTCTAACTGTAGATGACTGCAATATGTTCAAACAATAACAAGTGTACATCAATGAATTAATACACAATATACATGAGTTAAAACAATTTGGACATTATGTATGGCCAATACTATATTATACAATAAAATACAGAGCATGAATTTAATAATTTCCAAATAAAATAAAATATTGATATGCATTAGAAATTTCTTCATTGATAAGAAATTCCTTTCTTTATTTTTATATAACAGTCGTTGCTATTTAAATTCAATTAACAAGGAATTTTTTAGTAGTTCAAATGGATTTGTGGAAGAGTTTTATTTCGTTCGGAGTTTGATAAAATGCAATATGAAAAAGCCAAGTTTTCATACTGCATTTGCATTCCCGTGCAAGAATTTTCTTACAATAACTTTATTTACAAAACTTACAATGGCAGATGCTGGTTGATCTAATTCCCATTCTGCAAACAAATGACACTGATTTTCTGTTTGTTTGACTGGGCTACGAGCAACAAAACCAAAACAACGCCTGAAAATTAAAATCATCATCTCATTAATTTTCTGAAGATATTCTTTGAATATTATATTTTATATTTATATGAATATTAATTAATGAAGATAATGTTATTTTTATTGATTTAATTTTATCTGGTAGTTATTGTTGAAAGGATGAATAAAAATCAAAGAAATCCTGTATGATTCAAATTGAAAAAAAAAAAAAAACATTTAATCAGATCTACTTGTGTAATTATTTGTCTACATCAAAATTTACAAATAAGAGATAATGCTAATTATAGAGAAAAACAAGTAGCATGACTATTTTAAAAGAATGTATTGAAGATAATAGGAGCAGAGTCCTTAAAGTACAAATATGTATAATAAATTTTTAAAATTTATTTAAATTCTTTAATAAGAAAAATTTATGCTGATGCATTTATGACAGGGCTGTGGAGTTGGAGTCAGAAGAAAATTCATACTTAGAAGAGTCAGAGTCAGTTGGTAAACATGGACAGGCTCTGTCTGACTTCTGTTTTTTATTTCATTATGTATTTTATGTTAAGATCCTAATAGGAGTATTAACTTTCTATCTTGCACTATAGGAGTTTCCTATAGTGCAAGATTTTATTTTATGATGATTTCCCTATTTTATGTGATCTTTCTTTGCCTATCATTAATTACTGCTGCTCTTTTCAGAAATTTATATTTGAATACATTCTGTGTTAGCTAATTCTAAGTTTTAATTGTCAAAAGACTCATACAAAATGGCTATGGAGACTTTGGTTAAATTTAGTGTTTTTGAATATTTTACTATAACCACAGAAAGAAAACATTTTGTCTGTCAGTGGGTGGTTAAAGATGATAATGAAAAACACTATGATAAAAAGAGAAGAACTTTCAGTTTTGATGGGAAAGCCTGATAATTCACTTTGCAGTAATTCTGGGATAATATAATCAAAGTATATTTTAGATTATTATTTAGAGGCAGGAATCTGAGTTGGACTCAAATTCTAAATCAGGGTTGATGCTTGATCTACTGTAATCAAATTCTAGTCTCAAAAATTGAATACTTATGGAAGTCATTCTATGTTCAAAACTATTTAGATTTTAGAATATTCAATCTAAAGATGAAAAATCACTTTCTTGAAAAATATTTAATCAAAGATTCTAAAAACAGGTTTCTTGAATATTATAATGCTTTGCGACTATTTTCCTTTTTTTTTGTTTCGGTTTTTCCCTCACCCCTTTCGTTTTGTTTCATGGTACTACCCTTCCCCAGTTAATTGTGTGTTGGCAGCCCGATTGGCCAGTTGAGGTCACGTGTGGTGTATATCCGGTTAGTAGGATATACAGTATAAGGACGTGACCCATGTGGAGTAGGGACCTTTTTTGTTTTTTGGTTTTCCAGCTTGTTTCCGACTGCGGTGTTCTGACCAGGTGTGGGGAATCGAAGCGCTGAACGCGAGAAACCCGAGGAAGAAGGGAGACAAAGGAGAAGAAATTGGTTTCCATATGAATAGGAACTGTGTGGTGGTGAACTCCAACTCGTTCAAGTGAGAGAAGATTGGCGGAAGATTAGTAGGCACTGTTTAGTTCTTCAAATGTTTGTACGCGGCCAAGATTTTTGTTGCGAGTAGCGTTTGTTATATATCTTCTTTGTTACGTGCTGTTTCGTCGTCCCGCTTTCCCACGTGTTGCGAGTCCCCATAGTCAAGGGAGGAAAGAGAGGAACGAGGTGAACATATGTAGCGTTGACTCGGGTATAACATAATTTTGTTATTAATTCGCGCCTTGTGTAAATATCCCATTGTAATTAATGAACTTTAATTAAAATCCCAGATATTGTTGAGCCGACTTGTCTGTGTGTTTTGTGTTCAGCCCTGCAGACCTTGCTCTACAGGGAAACTCTACAATATAATAGCAAGGTATTTGATTATGTTTCCAATCATATGACTCCATTAATACTCACAAAAAAAAATATACATTAAATTGGAAAATAATTTCCAACAAAGGTCCTTCCTGATTGCTGATGTGAAACAGGTTGAAGAATGGTAGAAAAAAACATGACATACTTTGATTTCTTATTGTCAACAACAACATTAATGCTCAAAATTTGATTCATCAAGAGAAGCTAAATAAAAAAAAACATCAATAGGTAATATGATATTTAGCTTTCACTTTTATGTAAAGATAGCAAGAGAGGAAGAATAAAATTTATTAATTTTTAATTTGATCAAAAGTATGCAGTGAAATAACAACAAGGCATAGTTATCTCTACATAAAACTTGTGTATAATTAGATCTGTTTATTTCTCTCCTAATTTTAATCTTCTCTCAAAATTCTGTTATGTCTAAATCAAGGACACTCATTCCACTAATGAAACATTTTTTAAATGATCAAATGATAAAGCCAAACCAACTGTTGGGCTAGAAATTGTTATGCTACAACACCATTTTAATTATTTTTTTATTTTTGTAATGGTTTGTCCATGGTAGGGGGAACCACCCTTACCTTTTGTTGAGGGAAACTTAAGGTGCCCTGCTTTGTTTCTTACCTCCTTTTTTGTTGTGCGATTAACTGGGAGGGAAGAGGACAAACAAGCAATCAAGGACTACAAAAGCAAAAATGTATAGAACTTTATTCTTATTCGTTTGCATCGACATTTTTGTCATAACATATTGAAAAAAACTGACCACTATTTTTCTACCTTGGGGCATCCTGCACAGTTGAAACTTCCCCCATGGGCAGTGCTGATATTCGAAATATTTAACAAAGGGTTCACTAACAGAAAATCTTTCCTTAACAATTTTTTTTTTCGCTCAAATGGTGCATTAGCAACATTAGCGCAAAAACAAACCTTAAGATATCCNTTACGTGCGTTTAACAACGGGTTCGGAAAACTTTGAAAATGTTAACAACGGGTTCGGCCGAACCTGTGCGAACCCGCTGAATATCACCACTGCCCATGGGGTAGAGAAGGCAAAAATGCGATGGATCGATTCATCTAATGATATTTGAAAGTATCCTGACTTCAAGTCCAAAACAGAACAATATTTACTTCTATAAAACTGAGATAGTATATCATCTATATGAGCCATAGGGAACTCTTGTGGTCTGGTGATTTCATTTGCTTTCCTCAAATCAAGGGTCATCCTTATTTCACCAGAACTCTTTGGAACTATATATTGGGGAGTTCTATTCGGAATTACTTTCCTCGCAAATGCCGCCCAAGGAACTCATCAATTTTCCTTTTTAATGCCAGTAGATGCAAATGTAGTAAATGATATTGTCTGACATTAATGACCCTTCCTGATTCAATTTCAACCTTATGACTGAACCTCGTAGGACCAGTTAATTCAGAGACATAATGAAGAAAAATCATGAAGAGAGAAAAGCAATTGACATTGGACAGATTCTTTAACCCCCACAATGGAAAAAACATGACTAATAAAAATGCAAGACTGCATATATATGTATTTTTATTATTACACTAGCTGCAAGGACCTGCTTCGCTGGGTTTTTATTTGTATGTAATATAGTTTTTTTTATATATATAAAAGACTGTTTTTCTGAGTAATCTAGAATCTAGCTGCAAGGACCCGCTTCGCTGGGCAAAAAGTAACGATAGTGAAGATTAAGATAATTACATTATATCTAATCTTACCCGTTTTCACAGAATGCAAGAATTAGGTCCCCAGTTTCCAGACTAATTAGAGAATTTTTACGTTTAGTCAAACAAACTATTTTCAACGTTTCTGGAACGTTTACAATCGTTCTATAATCGAACCAATATTCGAATTTTATGTTCGAATTTAATTCAAACATATAATTCGAATTATTCGAACAAATTCGAACAAAACATTCGAAATAGAAAGCCACTTTCAACTACTTTTAGCCTCATATCTCCCGCACCCTTATAGCTATCGAGACGCAACCACCCCTATGCACGAATGGAGACTTGGGGCTACCACCACATACAAACACCATTCACGTGCGATGCGTAGTTTTGGCGGAAAAGTGAAATATAGGGACATACATGTCCATTTTTATATATATATACTTTCTAAGTTTATTTTTTAATTTTTGGAGTCTCCAGAACGAATTAATCAAATTCCCATAAAAACCTATGGTAAATCAATAATCAGTTAACAAACAATTTGGATAGCAAAAGAAGTTTCGGAACAGATTATGTTAGTTAACCAATCACCCACTCTATAAAAATTTCTAATGATTTTAGTTTTTAAAATATAAAGTTTATTTGTTTCATTTCAAGAACTGATTGTATTATCATTTTATAAATATCACATACCCTGATTCTAGGGGAATGCTTATTTCTTTATCACCTTGATTCCAGCGACGTCCATCAGGATCTAATCCACAGTAACTAACAGTGGTTACTGAGTAATGACGACGAAAAAATAATCTACGCAAAAAAATTGTTTAAAATTATTTCCTCATTTTTCAACATCATTAATAATTTTTATTTTTAAAAATATAAAAATTACTTGTGCTTTATATCTGTTAATGTAATACCATGGGAAGACACTTTGAAATGAACTAGGGTTAAAACTGGCAGTGTTCGTTTCGAAAACAAATGAGATAATGCTTTACGGACAGCTTGAGGTCCTGTTAGTGACTCTGTATCTGCACTGCCTAGAAAAACTACATTACAAGCTGAAAGTAAAATATTTTAAATATAAATTAGTAAAGAAAACTATTTAATTTAATCATTCATAAAAGACAATCTTATTAAGAAAATTCATATCATACAAAGAAGGTACAGTACTGTAAATGATTAAGTATAGGAAAAATTACTTTCTGAAAAATCAGGATTTTTCGATATAAATTAATGTTAATATTTCAATTAATTCCACAAACTGCAGAATACATAGATAAATTGTGAAGATAAATTTCTATATATTATATATGTAATTTAAAACACACATTAACATTTTTGACAGTCATAACAGAAAATGTATATCAGTGTGAAATGCCATATTTATTCACCTATTTAACTTAACATTAAGGCCATCACTTATCTTACAAATCATCATTAATCTTTGTTGTCATCTCTGTATATTATCATTTTAATCAATCCACTGGAATGACTAAAAAATACAACCTATAAAAAAAATTCACCACACCAAATTTGTTTGATCTTGATTCCAGCAAATAATAATAAATCTGTCTTCTTTTTATCATAAGCTTGATGGCTTTAAAATATTGGTATGAACTTTTGTATCAGTTCATTATTTGAAGAAGAAAAAGAATGATTCCATCAAATAATAGTTTCCTACTGATTTTTAAGCATTTTTCATCCTTTTTTCAATTGATATTACAGATATCCACAGATGCATGCATGTGACTTATGGCAGCCACATTAAACTTCAAATGCTCATAACTTCTAAGTGTATCTTTTGCAAAAAACATGTTTCAGACAAAAGTTTAATTTTTTGTTAAATCATAAATTACAATAAAAAACAGGGTTCTCCATTTAATGAAATGAAGTTGGTGCATTTTCACTAATTATAGTGCCATCTTTTGACAACCTTAAACTCTTAAACTCTAACATTAAATTTGGTGAAATAAATTTTTTTGTAAAATGCATATTTTTTTAGTTATTCCAATGAATTAATCAGAATGGACCACCCTATATTAGTTAAAACTATTGGAATAAAACTAGCCTATAATTCTGTAACTGATTTTACCAGGTTTTGTGAATAAGACTACCATTCCTTTTTACATGACTTGAGAACAAGTGTACAAATGTCTTTCTTTGCTCTCTTACACTACATTGTGTGAATGCTCTGCCCAACAAAAACAGTATTTCCAAAGATGTAATCTTAATTGTGACCTTTCGGGTCGGCACCTCTTTGGTACCCTGTCAGGATTGACACCACCGTGTTTCTCGAAACACGGAAACCGAGACGGCGATTACGTCACGCCGTCTCGCGAGCAGTTCTGTATGTGGTCAGACGGATTCGTAATGTCGATTCAAGAGACAACATTGGAAGTGACTCAGATACACTTAACAATTAACAAGGGTTTATTTAAAAATCTATTGGAAAAAGGGTTGTCACGGAGAGAGAGAGTTCACATACGATTCGCGGGATGATAAATACCTTTGGTAATAGATCCCGGTCGGGTCTTGTTGAAACGGAGAATAAGAGCTTCCTATGGGTTTTTCAGGATGTATCCACGAGAAAAATACCCATCAGAACTTCTGATGGGTATTTTTAGTTATCCAGGCGATCGTGCACTAACACACACACACACACACAGAAAAGTTTATCCTATGGCGATTAATTCGGTGACGATTAGATGGATGATAATTGAAGGGAGGACGACTTCTTTCCTCTCCGAGGACTAAGGCAGCGACTAACTCTTTTCGGCCGTCTCTGATGATATTCACGGATGATTTCGGCCGTGCAGAGGTTAATAGTTCACGAGAAAGCGTCATGTTGCTTTCGAGAAAATGTAACGGGAGACTTTCTCAGGTAGCTAAGAACAACAATTGTTGCGTAATTTGCAAAATGTTATTATTAAAGACTATTTCTAATATAAGAAGTTCTGCTATCTTACACTACATTGTGTGAATGCTCTGCCCAACAAAAACAGTATTTCCAAAGATATAATCTTAATTCATAATACTGAACTTACAAGAAATAAGACACTTGCATAATGGTAGTTTTTCTAGGAATCAATTAAGTCATGAAAATGGGAATACAGTAAAACCTGCTTATGGTGACCACCCACGGTTCCTTCAAGAAGTGGTCTTTTAGACAGGTGGTTGTCCAATATAGGTGGTACTGTAATACTGTATTTTTTAGCCATTTCTACTAAGCAAAACTCGAGGTGAACAAAAATAAGCGAATTTTTACAACGATAGAGCTATATTGGTATTGTAATAATATTTAATATCTTCTTAAGTACAATAAGAAAAATTCAATAATAAAAAATCAAAATCAATAATAAAAAGATCAATAATCAATAATAAAAAGATTTTATTTTTTCTCATAATAGGATTTCATTACATGGAAAAAGGAAGGTTGCCTGTAAAACTGATTTTTGCATTAATGTGTTTATTGTTTTTTGAATATTTTACGTGCAAAAATTACTTGGATATTATTTTTCTAAAAATATCATGGAAATAAGGTAGATTGATTCAGAAACTATTTATTGCACATGTACTGTATATGAACTTAAACTAAATAAATAAATAAAATAAATTTTATCAAACAATGAAATCAGCCGATTAATTATATTGTATACAATATTTTATACCCCTAAGGAAAATACTGTAGGTCTACGGTAAAATAAATTTCATTTTCCCACAGTTAAACTTTGCCACTAATTACTGTTGTGATAAACCATTTTCACTTTTTCTGATAACTTTATCATCATCTTCTAATGACGTACTAGGAAATGAAAACGCGAACACTGAAGCTAAGTCCAGCTGCAAAGGAAACTGACTCGGACTACACTCACATCCCTCTCTCATGTAGCAGCCTTAAAAATTATATTCATGACAACGCTATGCGAAAGTGGAATCAGTAAAAGTAGTTGAGCAGTAAAACTTATAGAATAACACGACTTTATTTTCCTAGTGTTGAATGTAGGTTTTCATCACTACTTAGCGATTTAACGTTTGCTACTGCTCAACTATTTACTGAGCATTTCTTTCGTTTTTCGGAGAATTTTGAACAAACTGAAATGAATATCCTTTGTTGCTAGACTGATTCACCTGCACCTAAATTCAAGGTTGGAGAAATGGGTTCGAACAATAGTTTAGATCAGATATATTCACGGAAGTGGTCACTTACTACAGTTGTTGTATGTTGCATGTTGTTTTAGACCAAAAATCAATGCCTGTGGTCGCGTTACACGGGTGGTTGTTTAATACGGGTAACTTATACAAAGAGCAGTGGCGTACCATAGTGGGGCGGCACTCTTTGGGGGGCTGCAAAATTTCACAATAAATAATAATAATATCTTGAAAAAATTTGAAACATCCTAACCTATACTTGCATCGTGCATACGATAGTGCTATCGTCCGGACTGTCCGGGAATCAGCTCGCCGGGAGAACTAGTAACTTTTTCATCCGAGGAGTTCCTGTGAAACCTGTTGACCTTTTCTTTCTTTTTTTTTTCCTTGTACAATTCATTCGCGTTCATATACACCACTAATATCCAATAGTACTATTTTAAACAGGTTGCTGCACTACCACCGAATTTTTCATTGCTTATTCTGTGACAAAATTGAATTTTGGTCTTTTAAATTGAAATACCTAAATAAGAGGGGTCGAAATTTTCCTCTGGCCCAGGCGGCTGACACCCACGGTATGCCACTGACAAAGAGTCTATGTATAAGCTATTCAGTGCCAGAAATTTTTGCCCATTTTGACAGGTGCCCGTCGAATGCAGGTGGTCGCCTAAGCAGTTTTCACCATATATATAAAATAAAAAATTTTTGTTATGATGTCAGTGTTATTCAAATAACTAAGGTTCAGGGATGTCCCAATACCAAAAAGTATTGGTATTGGGACATTATCATGAGTAGTTATTAATCATGAGTAATCATCATTAATCAGTAATCAGTTATTACCATGAGTAATCAGTTATTAATCATGTAATCAGTTACCATGAGTAATCATGTAATCAGTTAATCATGTAATCATGTAATAAAATGAGTAATCAGTTATTAATCATGAGTAATCAGTTATTAATCATGAGTAATCAGTTATTAATCATGTAATCAGTTAATCATGTGATCAGTTATTAATCATGAGTAATCAGTTATTAATCATGTAATCAGTTATCATGAGTAATCATGTAATCAGTTAATCATGTGATCAGTTATTAATCATGTAATAAAATGAGTAATCAGAATAAAATGAGTAACCAGAACAGCAATCATGAGTAATCATGAGTAGTTATTAAGTATTAATGCCAATATCAGTATCGGTGTTAAAGTATCAATACCAGCCAGTATCAGCATTGAGTATTGAAACTGAAATTCTTCCCAACTGTCGGTGTTCAGTCTGTTGCATCACCTTCCAGTTATTTTTATTGCTGAGAAAGTACACCTATCAAAGAATGCTGTGTAAAAAAATTTCATAAAAAAAGAATAGTATATACATCCTTTAGAAAAATGCTTGATAGGATCCACAACTTCAATGGAATGAAAAAAATAAGCAATTTACAAAAGAAGCATGAGCTTATTTATTCTAATGTGAGATGCAAACCACCCCTGTGGTTAATTAAAAATTTAATTGAAATAGAAAAATTTTAGACGAAAATATTCTATGATTTTGGTGGAAAAATTATATTTTCTAAAACAAAGGAAACTAGTAAAAGTCACTTCCTTCAACAGAAGTTGAACATCCTTTTTGGTTTTCCCTTATCTCCTAAAATTTTAGTCACCCTGGAAATTGTCAACCCCTCGGTAAATCCCCTTTTCCCTGTTCACGTGGAAAAATACAAAATGCTGATTGGTGAAAATTCGTCAGAAACAGAAAGAATTTTGTATCATTTGGGGAGTACGCCACGAAATTCGAGAGAAGGAGGACATATTCCACATCAGCTCCCAAAGGCCAATGCCCATAATCAATTCCCGAAGTCCTAAATGAATTATTAAGTCGGTAAATACAGTGAAGAAAAAGGTTTATTTATGTGCCACTACAGACATAAGAAAGAACATTCATCCAGATACAGATCTCAAAAAGAAGACAGAAAGACACATGATTTAAGGTAGTATGTTTTTAACCGAAATTGTGAGTTCTCTCTCTCAAAATTAATAGTCTTATTCGAAGGTTCAATTTTGTATAAACTAGTTCTTGTTCATTAAAATTTTGTTGTTATTGTTAAAGAAATGTCTCTTATGTCATCTGAATCAAACATATTTTACCATCTCCTTCATGAATCAATACACATGTTAATCCGCGTACAATAAATCTGATTAATTGGTGTCAAGGAATCCTGACTAGATCTAGGATTCATCCCATAGATCCTTCTTTTAACATTCAAACTATAAGCCCCTCCACACTCGATTTATTGGGATAGAAAAGCTATTCTTCTAGACAAACAGAGGGCTATTCTAGAGAATAGTCGCCGATTAAGTGATACTAGAGTCTTACTTACTTCGTATCCCCGGCTAGCCCCTCACACTAACATCATTTATCATTAACATTATTTGTACATTAATATAGTAAACAAGGTAGCTTAAGAAGCATACAGCATTCTGTAATGTACAGTACAATATTATATGTACTGTAACGTTATCAAAAGTTACCTTTTTGTTGAAATCAAGAGTTAAAAAAAATTAACTTTTTTAACAATAACACAATTTTAATGAAAAGTTAAATTTAGCAATTTTCAAATAAACTGTTTTCATCCCATGTTAAAGAATCAATCACATAAAAAGAGGATTAGTTTTCCTTTTGTTGACTGTGTTATTTCAAAATTGCATAAAATGGACTGTGTAAAAAGAGGGATAGGTGTACTGTACTTGTTACAATGAAGGCTGAGTGGGTCCCAGAACAGCAATTAATATTTTGTTGCTTACTCCAGAGAATTGAATCCTGAATCCGGTTCAGAAGTCAGCACATCAGTCAGTGCTTCAGTTTTCAGTTTACACATTAACTTACAGTTATCAAGTTTAATTTTGGAACAGTTTGCAAGATCCAGCCATTCAAATGATGTTCTTTTACACTCAACAAATTAAATATATCTTTAGAATTTAGTAAGAAGACAACTATATATATTTGTCCAATAATTTTATACAAACACTGATTGCATTTTGTAAATCAGCAATGATCAGTCATATCATTGATATATTAGAACATTCCAGGAAGAAAAATTGATGAGCCTAATATTAAAAACTGGTTTAAATGTTAACACTTTTTTCTGACACTTGTGTGTATATAGTATTTAAATAAAACATTTGCTGCATTTCATAAACATTGATTCTATCAAGAGTCCTAAACAATTTTCCTTATCCTTGCCAGCTCTGGCTGCTGGCAAGGATTCCCCACGATAGCAACCCAACGCCAGCAAATGTTGCTAGACAAATAAAAACAAATTTGGTATGTCAATATATTTATCGTTTTATGACGAGTAAAATTTTTTTGTTGAGTTTACGGCTTTTATGTAATGCATAAATCTTCGAAGCACAAGGCCCCTCAGACAGCGAGGCCGTAGGAGGTGGCCCACGTCTTACACCGCCTCTGAGTTGATTAACTGTACATAAGTTTTGTTTCTATGCATGTAATCATTGCAAATGTATCTATGTTTTATATATTTTTTATATTAAATTATATATATTATATATATATAGTTTAATATCACATATTAATTACAATATATGTAGTCACAATATAAAAGACATATGCAATACATAAATATTGCATATGTCTTTTATGTTGTAATTATATTGTAATTAAAGTGTATTAAATTATGTTCGATATTGTAATTAAACCATAATAATCTTGTTTAGTGTACAAAATTTTAGCTGCTTCATGCAGGTCATCAGAAGACTATATCAACATTACGATCTTGGAAAATCTCAGAGAAATAGCTAAACTATAAATGAAAATATAGTTATATTTATACTATAAAAACATATGAATAAAAACAAAATTTTTATATATGAATTAAAAAGACAAGCTCAAAATGAATTCTAAATATATTAATAGAAATTTAAAATGATTTAAAGTTCTATTAAAACCATTTACTTATCCTCTATTGTTAATAAATATTTACCTGCACCCTGAGTTATTAGACTATTTGAAGGACTAGGACTCTCTGTCTGGCTTTCTTCTAACTGTTCAGTAAAATCTAAAATATTTATATTTATGTCAAATTTATAAATATTTTAACTTACTATTTATATTAAATAGGAATTTTATAGAATAATTATTAAGTGCCATCAAAACAGTAATTAATGTCAGTCTGTTAACAACTGAGCATTTCTTTTTTGTTTTTTAAAACTTTTCTAGTTTTGTTTGTTAAAAAAAATACATATAAATAAAATAGTCTGATAATATATCAACTTGATTCAATTAATAATGCCAAACTGACTGCTGGATTATTCATCAGGCTGTACAAATATTAATTTAATGAGCTTTATTGCAGCAAATTACACTTGTTACAGTTCAGTGAATAATCCAGCAGTTCATTTGGCATTAGTAAAATAGTATAATTTAAAACTTTCTTTTTTCTTTCTTTAGGCACACATTTTAAGTTAAATTTACTTACATTCTATATACAGTAGAGCGTCATTTATCCGAAAGCCGGTTATCTGAAACGTCTGTTATCCGAAAGCATTCCAGTCAGCAAATTTAAATTTTCGCTAGTGCTGTGGTGCTGCAATCTTTGGATATGTCTTGAGCTAATCCAATATTTTTTTTTGTTTGTGTATGTGTTTTAGCTGGCAGTACTGGCACTTTTGTGTGATTTTTTTCTGAGGACTGCGTGTCATGCTGAATCAAATGTTTTTGATACTATATTAACTTCTAAAGTATAATTTTTTTCGTTTTTATATTTTTTAATATATTTATTTTGTTTGTAAAAAATAAAAAAATAATTTTTAACAATACAATAGCCACGATTATTATTTTAAAAAGTTTACGTTAGGCTTAACATCGACAAAAATTCAACGCGAAGCGACACGCAACGGAAAAAAATTTCAACATGGGATAGGTTAATATATTTTTTCGTACGTAATTGGTTATCCAAAAAATAAGTTATCCGAACAACCCAGTCCCCAATTGATTCGGATAAACGACGCTCTACTGTATTGCTATATTTTCATTTACTTACATTCCATATCATCTTAAAAAATGTTATTAATATATAGTAAATGATTCTTTAAATGAATTTAAAACAGAGTCAAGAGACTAGTTTTTATATTTGGAGTGACAAAGACTTAAAAAAGATGTTTAAAGATACTATTTCAAGTTTCACAGTAATAAAGCATTCACCTACCACCAGAAGGCTAGAACCAGTTATAAATTGGCTAAGGACATTATAGTATGGTGAGAAGATTTACTTTTTGTTGTTAATTTAAAACATCAGATCCTCATTGAAAAGGCTGACATTTGATCGTTTTTAACTTCGTGAATTTTTTTACGTATTATTGTCTTTATTTAATGTAGTTTATTCTTCAAACCTGTTACTTCTGTGGTTGTGTTAAAAGGATTAAAGGATAGACTCGAAAATGTATATTTTTGTTAATAGTTTATAGTCGTAACTTCAAATTTGAAGAAACATTCATTTAGTTTTAATATTAAATGAGATATTTGAAACATGAAGTCATTCATATTCATGAAGATTTATTTATTGATAGCTCTATGAGCATAACAGAAATTAATTTTGTGTTGATTTATTTGTTACAGTTTTTAAAAATCATTGTATTTAAGTTAATGTAATAAAATTATATTTTGTATTATTAATTTGTTTTTAGATTATATCGTTATTTTCTTTTTTAAAGTCACTAGCTGAAATATTGGATTAGAATATTAATAATTCACACCATGAACACCATTAACCAACAAAAATTTCCATAAACTAACATTTTCTTCCATGATGATGATGTCCATTGTATATAGAAAAAAACATTAGTTTATGGTAAATTTTTGTTCTTTTTGTTGGTTAGTAGTGTTTGTGGTGTGATTTGTTTTCTTTTTAAGCCAGAAAATTTAATTTTTATATTAAATTTTTAACATTTATAATTGAAATAGAATTTTCTTATAATGATTCTATTGAAAATTAATTACTATGAATTATTGATAGTTACTACATAGTTAAGTAGATTTTGACTTAATCAAATTAACAAATAAATGTAAATTATAGGTATATGTGCTTAAGAACTTAATTTATTTGATAGAGAATTTGATAGAATGATATAATAATAAAAAACAAGTCTAACAGTAAATTAAATTACCTTAAATTCAATTACTGTATATCTGCGCAGATAAGACGACCTTCAAATAAGACAAGGTATAAATTTTCATCAAAGTTTTATAGTTTTAGCATATATCTGTCTTATAAGACAACTCCCAAACTATCAACAGCCTATGAATTTAGTTTAGATCAGCGATCATCATCTGNAAAGTATTTAATTAACAGTTTTCTTTCAACTTCAGAGTATATAAACAACATAAACATTCTAAAAAATTCTGCAAACTAAAGAAACTAGATGATCTTTTAATATTACAAAAAATACAATCTTCCAAAAAATTATTATAATTTACAAATATTTATAAACTTACAAAAATAATTTATTGGCAGATAGCATTTTATATAATATTGATATCTTCTAGAATATTTGTATGCTCTGATAATGAAGGAAAACTCTAAAATATTCAGATTAAAATATTTAATTGCTCATTTAAACAGCAATAACTTTCTTGGACATTTATGAATACAAAATAAAGAATATAAAGTTCGTTTAATATTTTCAGATCTTCAATCATTTTCCTCTTTTAGTTTAAAGCAGTTGCAAACAACCTGTGGTCTTTGAGCTCCTTATGTGTGGTTCCTAGTGCTTTGCCATGTAATTTTTTTCTATTTTCTACCTTGTGCCATTATACAACCTTAATTAAGCATATTTGTGGCAAAGAGGATTCTAACTAAGCTTGACTAGTAAAAAGACAAGAATAAACTATATATTACTATTTTTAAAATTATAAATATACATTACTAGTTCTCACATAATTAGCATATATTATTTTTGTACCAGTAGTGTACTATAGGTAAGTTGTGGTGATCCACCAAATGTATATATATATATATATTTTGTCTTTAGTATTAAACTTAATATTAAGTTTCCTAAGTATTTTGTCTATGAACTTTCTCGAACTTTCTAACGGTCTTTCTCCCTGCTGGTGGTAAAAACATTTCTGAGAACTACAACGAAAAACAAGGGTGTGGAAGTAGGCCCCGAGGCAAGTGAGAGAAAGGAGCGAGGATTCTGAAGCTAGCGTCCGAAGGAGACAGACAGGTAGAGAAGGAAGTCCTGGTCTTCGAAACCGGAGAGGACTGAGTGAAGTGAGAACGTTGAGAGAGAGAAAGAACGGAAGAGAAAAAAGGAAGGAAAATCAACGAAAGTTTTTACCTTGATACTAGCGAAGTATAAAGGAAGGAAGAAAACACGGGTACCCCATCAGCATTCTTGTCCTGTTCTTATTACTCTTATTCTTAGTATTAACTCTTTCATTCTATATTTCTTCATTAGTATATAAGTTAGGTTAAGATAGGTTAATTAAAATTTTACATTGTCGCGAAAAACCGTGTCACTCTTGTGTACCAATAGAAGTATATGTTACGGAAATTGTATCTATTGGAGTTGGGATCCTAAAGAATCTTTTATATGTAAAACTGCACGAGCCGACAATAAAAAAATTTTTATTGTAGACAACGTTCATTGTATTGTTCGTCCAGGTGCTCACCACAAAGTTCACACTAACAGTGAATGAAAAGCCAGGAAGTGATTTTATTCACTTAGCAAAATTAGTTCACACTGAAAATTTTCACTTTCTACATTTTGTAATGCGTAGTGGACAATTTGCTAAATGGGAACATTTGTCACAAATAGTGTTACATATTACATACTAATCACTTGGTTTTGCATTTTCTGGCTATTCACTTTCAGTTTGGACTAACCTGAAGTGAATATGTAATTTATTTTTTCACTTTTTTTTTAATAATCACTTATACATTATTCACATAGTGGAAAAATTTAAAGTGAAAAAAAGTGCTGTATGGTATAGAAAAATATGATGTTTAAGTGCAAAAATCATGTAAATGAAGTGTGTAATGATCGGTCACTATTATTATTAGTTTTACATATTTGTTTGTTTATATATATATATATATATATATATATTGTACATTCACGTGGTACAGAGCTGACGAATCCTCTTTCCGCTTACAAACACCCATCAAAAGGGGATACGGTATCATGAAACAACTCACCCGCATGACAATACTTTGAATACCGACATGGAAAAAATGATATTTTCCATATATATATGTATATGTATTTATATATATATAAAAGAATTGGTCAGCTCTGTACCACGTGAATGTAGCCATAGTCCTGGATGGCAGGTATTATAAATTGGGTGCCACATGTTAGGAATGGTCTTCTTTTTTCTTCTGGTTTTTCTGTTGGTTGGCTCTCCACCTGGACAGGGGATTGTTTGGATTTCCGATGAAGAGGTGAGGATCATTGCTCATCATAGAGAAAAGGGCAATTGGACGACGGAATAAATAAAAGGGAAATAGCCTTGCATCCGCACAGAAGATTGGATCTTTGTCTAAGTTTCCTTAACAAAAGAAAGTACTATTTAAGTGACATCGTGGAATAATTGATGGCTGCCCGGAAAATGTGTATTGTGCATCTTATGTGATTTTTACATACTTGTATATATATGTATGTAGATATATATAGATTTAAATTGGTAGTTTTTACTCTGATATAATTGTAAGTTACATATATGTTATTAGGCATCATAAGCATATTGCATTCTCGCGAGACAGGTTAACTGTAGCCATTATAACGGAGATGTCATGTATCAATAATCCTAAGTAATATAAAGGATAATAGATATTGACCAGTTTCCAAAGTGTGCTTATTTGTAAGATCCTTTACATTCCTGCCTCAATGTAATGTCAAGAATATTTTGTTGTTCTGTTCAGCACTACAAGTGTTTTATAATGGAGAAAGTTACCATGTTACCAGGAAGAAAATATTTAATATCTAATTGTGAAAAACATACAACCAAGAAATGTATAAATGGGGTTCTACTGTATTTTTATATACATTCTTCATAAATT